CGTGTGATTTGCGCTGTGTGATAGATGTACTCATCCAGCTATTTTTAGCATTGCGCTGGTGTTCTTATTTATTCGCTAACGTTTGTCTTATTCGTTGGATTCTAGATTTTTATCTTTTTTTTTCTAATATACTTCTCTACTTATTTTACCTATGATCTTACGAAGAAAAATGTGTTTATTACTGAACTAAAAGTTATATTTTGTTCGATGGATGAATTTTGTAGTTTGAATAAGTCTCGTAGTATTATTAGTTGTACCATTAATTTGAAGTAAAAAATAAATAAATGCCGCTCAAATCATGTTTTGGGGGAAAAAGCGAAGACGACAAAAAGAAAAAAGAAATTAATAAACGAATAAATGCTAAACTAAAACAAGATGAAAAAATTTATAAGGCAACTTATCGACTGTTATTATTGGGTAAGAATGACACATCTTTTTAGCCTGTGACTTACTCTAAAATTTTATTTGTATTGTTTTAACAGGTGCTGGTGAGTCTGGAAAATCAACTGTAGTCAAACAAATGAAAATTTTACATAATCCATTCACACAACAGTAAGTATTTGTTATTCATTGACGAAAAACGTCGTATTTCATTTAGTTTATCTCTCGAGCTTGCAAGGCAGCTTGTACAGACATAAATACATTTGTTTTGAGAGATTTTTTGCTGGATCAATCTTGTGGAGTGGCTTTTAGTCCTTTGAGTAAAATATTCGCTCTACGATATTCTTGCATGATGGAATACAGCTCATCAACGAATATTATCTTTTATTTAGAGAAAAAATAGACAAAATTCCTGATATCAAACGAAATATTCGTGATTCATTAACTGTAAGTAGAGTATAGTTAGAAAATGGTTGTTTGGAAATTATTTTTTTAATCTTATTAATCATTTTAAGAGTATTCTAAGAGCATTTGACATTATTGTTCCGCCTGTACAATTAGAACATCCTGAAAATCAATTTCGTGTTAATTATATTTTGACTACAGCACATCAGATTGATTTTGATTATCCACCAGAATTTTATGAACATGCTGCTATATTATGGAAAGATGCTGGTGTACAAGCTTGTTTTGAAAGATCGAATGAATATCAATTAATTGATTGTGCTAAGTAGTAAGTAAAATCTTTTGTTTTGTTTGAAAACATAGTAGAGTATTTTCAAACAGTTTTGTACTAAATTTCTAAAGAAGTGCATGTTCTTTATTACTGGAAAATCCTGTATACCCTGTATAGGACAATTTTCAAAGCAAAATATTCTTCTCATAGGGGATGGACTTCAAGTATGTGAGGGGTTACCGCTGGACCACTAGCACGTGACAACATTTGAACGCAATAAAAGACTACCCTTTCGAACTCGACCTGCTTGACAAAATCGAAGGCCAGGTGGTCTTCTATTACGGGGGAGGGGAGAACCAGCAGTGATGAAATAGTTAAAATCACGGACAAATAGCTGAAAATTGTTCAGCTTGATCAGCGAAAGTTTAAAAGTAAAAATGAATTTGTGTACCACCTTTTAACGATTACAGAGTTACATTTCTCTATAAAAACATGATTCTTTTGCCACGTTAGAACATTTTCCGAGGTACAACAGTGCGTTAAATTTTTGCTATTTAATTTTTCTAGTTTTCTTGACCGTGTTGATGAAGTAAAAGATCCAAATTATATGCCAGGTGAACAAGTAAGACATCTTGGTAGTCTTTTTTTCTTAGTCTTCTGTACTTTTCTTTTGCATTCAGGATATATTACGATGTCGTGTTTTGACATCAGGAATATATGAAACGATATTTACTGTTGAGAGAGTGCGCTTCCAGTAAGTCGTGGTTTTCTTTTGTTGTTGTACTTTCAGATTACTTTGGCTGCAATTTTCTTTAGTATGTTTGATGTTGGTGGTCAACGTGAAGAACGACGTAAATGGATTCAATGTTTTAACGATGTAACAGCCATTATATTTGTGACTGCATGTAGCAGTTTTAATCTTGTGCTAATCGAAGATGAAGGACAAAATCGTTTAAGAGAATCATTAGATTTATTCAAAAATATCTGGAATAATAGGTATTGTTTAGCTCTCTCTTATGTAGTTATTGTATGTGTATGCGCCACATTTCGTTTCACAAGAACTCGTTTGCCTTAAACGCTAGATTAAATTAGGGCAGTATTTATTGATAATACATCTAGGATATTGATTCACGTTTGCTAATGACTTCTAAGAAGTGAAGCAAGGCTTGTTAATAACGGATTGTAATCAACTATTCCATATAAGTATATTAATTTTTTATCAGCCGTTCATTAAAGTCAACCGTTTTCTGCATTGTTCTTAAGTTTATGTCGTTTTAGATGGCTAAGAACAATATCTGTCATATTATTCTTAAATAAACAAGATCTATTAGCAGAAAAAATCAAAAGTGGACGAGCACGATTAGAAGATTATTTCCCAGATTTTTCACGCTATGTTGTGTCACAAATAGAACCCGGTAAGTAGATTCATAAAAACTAATATTATGTTTTTAAATGTTCATTTATTTTTCACAGAACTTTCTGTACAAAAATATAGTAAGACCACCATAGTTTTTGTTTTGTTGTGTGTATAACTGTGTATGTGTGTATGTATCTATGGTTTTGTGACTAACATCACATATTGTAGGCTTTTTATCCTTATTTTGGTTTGGGCGCTGTGTCTACTTCTCACAGCATTTCTTAAAGATAAAGAAAAACGAATAATTTTTACTCTTATAGATACCGGTTGTTGTCAACTATTTTCATCTACAATACAAACACACGGTCAGTTAGAGATAGAAAAGAGAAGCTATATCGTGACATTATGCAGTGCTTTCGTTTACCACAATCGAAGGACACGTTATTCAACAACCACTTAGTAACGTGTTTGAAACGTACTCAAGTTTAAAATACGTTATAAAGCGCTTGTTTGTTTTACTGCTAAAATGTCTGAGAAATAACTCGGTGCTATCGCTAATAACATATAATGATCAGAATTACTAATCGAATTAAACGTTTTGCTAAGAATTTTGTCTTATAAAAGTAGAACTATGTATCTTAATAACAAAATAAGTGTGTTGTTATTCTCGATCGTCCAGCTTCGAGGATAAAAACATTATAGATTTTTTCTTCATATCTCTTAGTCAGTAATATTCTTCTACTTCTATAATATGCTTTACATATTAGATTTGCACACGTTCTTATGAGTCTAAATCTATATGTGTGTGTGTGTGTGTGTGGAGAGGAGGTGTATGACTGATATCCTTTTCCAATAAATGAAAATTGTAAAACAAATTAATATTCTTTGTCATTAAATTGTACTTGCTTTTGCTGTCAACTAATGTTGTTCTTCTTGTCTGTTGTTTTTTATTGTTTTTCAGATTTTAATTGTTTCGTATCTTTAATTTCTGAAATCAAATTGTTTACATTTTTGCGTTGTTTCTTTTTAGATAAAGCGGAGCCTGACGAAGATCCAAATGTGACAAGAGCAAAATATTTTATACGTGATGAGTTTCTGGTATGTTTATTTTGCTAAGTTTTTGTATCATTTGGACTATTTTTTGATTAAAGTTGTGAGATATTAGCCTGTTCAATACAAAAGAGTATAAATTTCAGAAATAGATTGTTGTCGGTTAAAATATGGTGTATATTCCTCATTCTTTTTTAGCGTGTAAGTACCGCAACCGGTGAAAATCGTCATTATTGTTATCCTCATTTTACATGTGCTGTTGATACAGAAAATATACGTCGTGTTTTTAATGACTGTCGTGACATTATACAACGTATGCACTTAAGACAGTACGAATTACTGTGATTGTGTGTGTGTGTGTGTGTGTGCGTGTGCGCCTGTGTGTATTGAAGAAAATTCTTTTTTATTTGTGTATGTGTTTATTCAATTTAATCTTCGAAATCTGTCATTTTTCTCTATTAGATATTTTTTTTCTCTCTCTCTCTACTATTATTCTTGTGTTTTAATATATTTATTCTCATCATCATCTTTCTGTATAAGAATCTCTGTCTGCTGTTTTTCTATCACACACACACACAAACACATTTCGCTCAAAGGTCTGAGAACAAAAAAGGGAAAAATTTTCGGTGGTGCTCATCTTTTTTTGTTTTTCTTTGTGTTCCCTCTTATAGACACCAAAATGGAGAACAGTTCCTATACCCTCCCTCCGTACTACTGTGTGTATAAATGTTTTCTTTTGCACAATAATGCTCTTGTAGGTTAGTTAAAAGTGTGTGCTCGTTCGTCGTCATTCAAACAGTAAATTTTCTCTAAAGTCTTACAACAGTTACTTCTCTTCTTTCTACTTGTGTTGTGTATATTTCTTCAATCGAGTTTAATTTTTTTTTTATTTTACACACTGTTGTTGTTTATTTTTCTTAGAACAATTTCTTCTTTTTATGGATACTAACCAAAAAAAAGAATCTCTTACCCTATGCGCTTATCTTTCTTTCTCTTGCTGTGCCTTTATTCCAGCAACACAGAAATTATACATCATTCATTTGTTTGTTTTGTTCATTACATCCTCTTGCTCTCTCTCTCTCTTACGCGCGCGCTTATGTACCCAATCTCTTTTTCGTCTAATTACAAAATGATTGTGTATTATTTACTTGTATTACAACTACTCCCATTTTATTCTCTCTTTCTCCGCGTTTACAATTCTTTCAATTTTTTTTGAAAAGAAATAAAAAAAGTGTCAATGTGTTTTTTTCATATCTATATATACTAGATAAATATTTTAAAAAAAAACAAATTTAAAACGCGAAAGCAAAATTTACATTTTTTATCTGTTTGTGTGTATGAGAATGAGAAAATCGATGAAACTTCACCATGTACTATGTTCATTTACATAGAAATGTGCAGCCAAGTTTATATCCATTGTATCTCACTAGTGATGGCGTATTTTTTGCTAGTCATGATCAATACAACGAATCGGATGATAACTATTCATTTAACACGTTCAAGATTCATTTTATAAACAAATTTGGAGCTCAAATAATTATTTAAGTTTATGAGTCAATTAATTAATTGTAAACGATAATTGATATCAATAACCTGTTGATCTATGTACAAGTGCTGTATGTTGTATAAAACAAGTACGGTGGCCATTTTTGAATAAGTTTTGATTGGATAAGCTGGCTGAAATGTTCGGTTTTCTTGTCATTCGAAAGAGGAGACTTGACCGTATGTATTCTGTTCAGCGAAAAGTCTGAAAATTTATTTTTAAAAGTAGAATTTTCAATAAATGTTTTCAATAATTTTAGACAGTGTTAAAAGTCATCGGAAGACGCTTCTATGATATCCGATGTTAGATATCTAAATGATGGAAAATCAAAGAGATCACAGTTCTTGTTTTGAAAGAAATGCTTGAAACTATCTTCTCATGTTAGAAAACGAATATGTTGCATTCTGAATTTCTGGATACATGGAGTGATTCTACAAAGATCTCCTGAATATTCTACTTCCGCGATAGGTTATAAAAAGATTTCTCTTAGAAATACGTACTGATATGAACGGTGGTACTTTCGGCATAAGATAGACGAAAATGAATCGATTCATATCGAATCTTACTACCGTAGTTTAAACGGATCATAAAAATTATTGCCGATATTCTACATCTTGAAAATAGTTTCTAAAAAGTTTATTATATTGAAATCTGATTAAAAATTGGAGTTTAAATGATATCGCTCCGATTCTAGACGTGAATTAATGAAAAGTACTTTGACTATAATGATCATTCCTTGTACAAAATTTTGTTGATAAGTCACTGTAGTCTGTGTTTATTTTAGTTAAATTCTCTGTAAACTAGCTTCACAGCATGACCGAGTGATTTGCAAAGAGTTTTTAACTACATTCCAAATAGGGGGATAAACATGTCTTCTAATAAGTAAACCCGACTCTCTAAATTAAACCCGACGATCGTTCAATAAACGTGTACAATCGCAGTCCGAAGTTTGAAATTCTCAATTCTCAATACGGACATCTACATTTATCGTTCTGTTTAGAGATGTAATATACTCACTATTAATCATGTAATTTATTTAATAAAAAACTGAACAAGAAGTCATATAGAATAAGTTCAGCTTTCTAAAACAAAAAGACATGAAGTGTTATTCGTGTTTTCAAAAATAAATCCTAAAAATTGATCAATTCTTCATAATTTGTTTGACCGAAAATGATTCTAATATCAATCTGCCGTGTTCTATTACATACAGTGGTTGTTAAAATCTATATACAGTTCTTACTCCAAATTTTTTAAAAAACGTTCTGGAAAATATCAGTATTTTGAGTTTCAAACTGTGTATTTAATAGGTTTAGTACAGTTCCTCTAGTAGTGTGTTTCATTGTCAAGATATGAAGTAGGAGCTGTATGCTTAATTTTTGGTCGACTTGAAAAAGTCCCTGATTTGCTCAATTCTTTATCATACAGTTAGTTAAACTCACAGTGAACATTTAATTGTTAAGGCCCCTCCCCTCGGGTCAGAAATGCCGATTTTCGTCAGAACTATTAATTTTCAGAAAAGCACATGGTTGGATAGTCCAAAGTGTCTACTTTCTAATAGCATAATTTGTGTGTCGATAGAATAGGTTTTTCATAGGTTTTGAGCGAGTTTTCCAGAAGCCTTATAGAACAAAAAGTGGCTTTTTTGCACTTGTATTGCATGAGCCCACGCATGTACCGCATATGGCCGCACACATGTTCATTAGATCCGCCATGACCGATAACCTGTAGCAAAATATCAACAAATGATTTAACGCTCAAATAGTTTTTATATAAAATGCATTTAACAGAATCAAAACTTATTTTGCATTTTTCTTAAGACTTTTTTAGCTTTAGGGCTTTGGCCACGTGCAGGAATTCTCGGTAACGATACATCGGAGAAAGAAATTTTTTTTTGATTTGTAGATAATACCTATAGGTAGGAGTTGACAGAGTCCGATTTTCAAATTATGCTTCCGTCTTTTATAGAAATGAAGATTTCTAAGAAACCTTCCAAGGATTTTTCTGACTTTAAAGTTCTATTAAGCACCAGAAATCAGTAAATGAGAAAATCAAAAATCGGGCTCTGCCAACTCCTAGCCATAGGTGTTTACTGTAAAATAAAAATATCTTATTTATGAAAAGCTACTGACCATTTCCTACATGGAAATTAACTAACTAATTGAATTTAAGATTTTCTACTCAAGCCATGAACGATGCTTTAATATATATTTAAAAATATGTTTTTACTCTGTCGAGTACACTTACAAAACCTGAAATATTTTTATATCAACGAAATTTGAATAGATAACTTAATATTTGGCATGTTTACTGTACAAAAATATGATATTGACTACTAGTGCTGAAAACAACCACTTGTCTTTCTTGTAAGTGATATTGATAGTGATGTTTATCAAATAATTATATCAAAGAATAATTTTAATGTTTTTAGAAGATAATCTCTCTTGGTACCGTCAGTTCGTCTGCGTATGTTTGATTATTACATAAAAAGATAGAAATATTGCCATTTCTATTCATGTTTGTTCTATCATCAGTATTAAGTTACAAAAATTAGATACAAAATAGACTGATATGTTTGATTGGAAAGTAGTGTCACGTACGGAGTAGCTATAAACCATTTTCAATACAATCCGGTCAACACAAAGCAAGTTTTAACGATAGAAAAGCGAAGTAGAGATATTCTTTGTCCTTCTCAGTTTCAAATTGTGAACCGATCATACCCTTCACTGAGCCGTCATCTGATATCAGTTTTTCTAAAAAGCTTACTAAAACAATGAAACGGATGGTTATAACAAGTACTGTTGTAATACAGAGATGCGCAGCATAGCTGTTTTTGACCTCTTAGCTCCTGTTTTATGAAAATTTTCAATGTTTTGTTCGACAATAATTCTTGTGACCGGTTACATCTTCATACGACCTTTCAGCAGCTTTGCCTAAAATTCAGGATCTCTATTTTCAAAGTATTTTATACTTAATTTGAGTTACGCTTCATTGTTAGGAATGATACGTTTCCGTTATTTTACTCTGAAAAGTAACGGTTTCCTGTTACTAGTTAGGATAACGGAAATCCGTAACTTATACAAAGTAAAGTAACGGTAAAAGATTCTTTTTGTTGTTTCGACAACCCTTTGTTTATTTTGTTAAACTTCTTTAATTGATGAAAATAAGTTATTCATGTTTCTACCTTGAAAACTGTGTCAAATCTAAGATTCAATTACTCTGAAATAACACTATTCGCTGAAACAGAAGCAGAGTAATTTTAGAAATAACTGCAACTCTGTAAACTTCACGTAGTATTGCACCGAATAATTCTCATGTTGATTTAATTTCAAAAACTTGTCCTTTAATTCAATGTTTCTATAAGTTTCGATGGGCTAACAAGTGAAATAAAGGGTTATCTCAACCAAAAAGTAATAATTCACCCCTTAGTTTTTCAGAAGTAATATGACTAACGAATTTTCGTTATCCGTTACGTGAACGATAGAGGGAAAGTGCTACCCATGTTCATTGTACGAAAAATTAAAAGAAGTTTTTACCATAAACAGGAGTTTTTGAACTTTTTGAATATTTACCTCGATTGTCCTCTCCTTGTCGTTTCCCTACATTTACAAGATACACTGATGTGATTATATCCTGAAATTTTGAGCTCATTTGGAATGATTTTAATTTAGTTACAAACTTTTTAATATAGAGTAGAATAAGCTTAAAACGGCATATTTTCGATGGGATAAGTTTCCAGTAAATTCAACCTTTACTGAAAATCAAATATTGTCACGCGACTCGCTGTGCTCGATAACCTATATTT